AAAAAAAAAAAAAAAAAAAAAAAAACTCGCATTTCTAAACTGTATTATTATTAGATTGAAACTCAAGCTTTGTTTTGACTTCTCGTCTTATGCATTAAATAATATTTCTACTCAGGCTAGGTTTTGTTCGAGACCTTGTTTCTTCTTGGTTTTAGGTGTCATATATCTTATAATATTCTGTCTTAGCATTTTAGTTTTACATCTTTCTTAACTGCTAAGTTGTTCGTTACATTATATTTTCCTATTTTTTCTCTTGGCCTAACTCTATTATTCCGGAAATTAGGTTTTGCATTACCTCCGTAGTAAAAAGTGGGATACGAGGGTTGCTGCTGCTCATGCTATTGGTGCCATCGTCCTGAATGTCAAGCATACTTCATTGAGTGAACTCTTAAATTCTTTGGTAACAAAGTTGGGTGAGGCCGGGTTATCTGGTAATGTAGATGAAGTGGTGGCTTCAGGCAATCTGCAGTCCAAACTTCTAGAAAATGCTCCCTTCAGAAGGTTGTAAATAGATTGGTTACCCAATTCATATGTTTTGATGTCTTAGTCAAGTTATGGTTGCCTGATGTCTGTTGGTGTCTCTAACTTTTGACATGTGCTAACAGCTTCGAGATGAATAAGGTTTTAGAGTTTGGCGCTTTGTTGGCATCTGGTGGACAGGTAATTTTATAATTTACTATTGTTTATCTGTCTAGGCTAGTCTGTATGTTTGCAGCTGATTTATCTCTGGTGTTGTTGCTTCACCGATGTCTTGTCATTAGGCCTAGGAAAAGATCTTGGTTGAAAGTACATTATGGTAGCTTTTGTTATTGAGGATCACATCCTTAGCCCGATTGAAATTATAAGCTTGCCCTCATTCGTTTGCTCCCTTTATCCCAACTTGTCTTTTCCTCACACATCTCTGTTTTCTTTTCACGAGATTTTGTTGCAGTTCCTTTGGTACAAACAAACATAAATTCAGATATGCCCAAATTATGAGTTGTTTACTGAGAAACTCTTTTTGTTGCAGGAGTTCGACATTTTGAATGACAATTCCAAGAATCCAAGGGACCGAGTCGCTCGTCAGAAAAAGAATCTCCGGCGACGTCTAGGTCAGTGGTTCCTTGCGCTTGTCTTATGTTCTGTAAATCAATAACCATGGGAAATTGTTATGAATGATCCAATCTAATAAATTGTCATATACCAGGCTAATATATGTGTGTATTTTGAAAATCATCGTAACCGGTTTTTCTAGGTCTATTATATGACTAGTATTAGTCCTTCTCACTCTTTGTAAAGCTGACCTAGTAAGCACTAAATCTATTTTGTTTTACTTGATTTGCGCATCTGATTAGACTTCTGATAATAAATGGAACAGGTTTGGACATGTGCGAGCAGTTTATGGATGTCAATGAAATGATTGGAGATGAGGATCTGATTGAGCAGAAGGCCAATGTTCATCCGAACGGAGTTGGAAACAGATTATACACGAACTATTCTCCACATCACATACAACAATTTGTTTCAAGAATGGTTCCTCGTGTCGCTCCTAGGAGGCCAAGCGCAAGGGAATTAAATCTACTGAAACGTAAAGCAAAAATAAGCTCGAAAGATCAAGCTAAAGGTAACTGCGAAGGAGCAGATGTTGAGATGGCATCATCTCATGCGTCGACCTCAAAAAGAACTTTGTCTGACTCATTGGACTCTAATAAGGTATTTGGATACTGCATACTTGTAATGACTGATAACCAACTTGTAGAATTTGAGGTGTGTAGTATATTAGTATGGAAAATACAACCATTTTGAAGACTTATGAGTTCATTGATATTCTATCCTTGGATTCAGTTCTCATTAGTGTGTAATATCTAACAATTGTAACACATTACCTGAAAATAGAATCGCAGTTATCATACTTTCTCTTAGCAACAAACGTCAAGCTGCGTGATGACTTTTCCTTCTTGATTTCACTTATCAAACACTTCTTGATTTCAGCAGACCATATTTCATACTTTCTTGTTTCTTCTGCATATGCTACTGGAAATTCTCAGGCAAACATTGGTAACGAAGATGATATGGAGCCTGATGCAGATGGAAGGTGGCCTTTCCACAACTTTGTTGAGCAACTTATTCTCGACATGTTTGACCCTGGTAAGCTTTATGTAATTGTGTTGTATGCATTTTACTTTGTTTCTCACTCACTGAATTCAAGTAAAGTTGACTTATTATCTGATAATATGTTCAGCATGGGAAATCCGTCATGGTAGTGTAATGGCTCTGAGAGAAATATTAGTGCTTCATGGTGGTTCTGCTGGAGTGTCAACAGCAGAGTTTAGCTCGGATAATGGGTTTGAATTGAAAGAAGATTTGAATAAAGTAACACGAGAGAAAGAAATCGATTTGAATCTTCAGTTTTCAGTAGATGAGCTAGAGCCACTTCGGAAAAGACCTAAGATTGAGGATCCGTCAAACTCATTTATTGTTAACACGGTTTC